AATCATCAGGCTACTTTTCCCTTAGCCATTGGTCAAGTGACTCCTTGGTGTGCTCTTCTAGGATGAAAGAAACTTGCCATCCTGGTATGATGATTCAAAGATAGTAAGAGCTCTCCACCATTGTCAGAGCAGAGCAGGTAATGATGGTGGAGAAGGAAAAAAAAACAAAACAAACTCTACAATTCTGTTTCAGATATTGTCAAGATCTCAAAAACAACAGTATCACAGCCCTAAGACTACATTTTTGCTTGAGTTACATGCAGGGGGAAATGAATACATGTTCAAAATTCTTCTTTTTTTTCCTCCCTGCAGAAATTAAAGTCAATAATATCACAATGATTTCTTCAAATGAATATGGGGCCAGCTCTTGGGAGCTCATCGTCTTAGTTGATCACCAGTACGAAGAAGAGCAAAGAGAATTTACACTTCGGGTCTCAGGAGATCTTCATATTGGTGGAGTGATGCTCAAATTAGTAGAACAAATGAGTAAGTGAGAATATTTAAAATCGTGCATGCTATTATCACATTCCTATGTGCAGCTCCACCTTCCCCCAGAAGTACAATGCTCCGTTATCTTCCTCATCTCCTCACTTCTAAATGACATGCTGCAGTTCCCAGTTGGTACTTGAATTTTCGCTTAGGTTCAGAGTTCTTTGGATCAGGCGCTACCTTTTAAAAAGCTTTCCAGTTGTACGGCACCTAGCATGGTGAGATCTTGGTCCATGAGTGGGGACAGGCTAATTGGAAAGCCTGAAGTTTGTCAGTGCTTCTTTTGTTGCTTTGCTTTTCTAGATGGCCTGAAAATCTAGAATACAGCAGCTGGGTAGGCACAGACTAATGACTTCTGGCTTTCCAAGAGACTTTGGATGGGGTAACATGAGAGAACAGACAATTAATTAGTGATGGGCAATTCAAAGGATAAGTGGGAACAGTTGGAATTGAACTTAGTGCTAATGTAGGGGAAGAAACTTGTCACGGGGAGTCTTTTGGAAGGGTTTGTTGTTCTCTGTATTAGCACTTGGGGTCCTTATGATCAGAACCCTCCTGTGCTGTATACATGCAATGGGAGGGAGATCTAGAGGACAGAGAGACTTTACACACTCCATTGATAAGACCAACAGAAGGTTAAACAGAAGTATTTTAGCTTCATACACACATAGCTAGTCAATGTTACTACAAACACTAGAACTCAAGTCCCGGTCCATTGCCTTAGCTGGTGAGCCTAGCAGCCTACTAAAATAATCCCTGCAACATTGATCTTGCAAAAAGAAGTTCCATGTAGACCAAGAGGGTAGCAGAGTTTAGAGTAAATGGCATAAGAAGACAATGTTGTCCCTGCATTTCAGATACAGTAGTTCCTTTCGCCAGTCACCACAAGAATTATGCCAGGGTGGCCAGACTAGCCACGAACCAAGAACTTAATACAACCAAGCCCCTTGGGGCACAAAAAGAAGATGCATATATTTTGAGATTGACTTTGGGGTATGCACAGTGATCTGCACAGAGTGCCCTCTTTCCCTTATTCTACGGCCACATATGACTTATGAATCCTATTCCTAAACAACCCATGGATTATTCTTTCCCAGAATGTAAGGCTTTACAGACCATGCATTATCTAGGTGTCTTGTTATTGATCACTACTACTGCCTGTGCCATGCTTTTCAAACCTGAATGCATTGGGCTTTGCATTTCTAATCATTGCACTAAACACCTCAGATCTGAAGTAACTAAAGTAGAACACTGTACACACATGAGGTTTTACCAAGGCACTGCTACTTGATCTTTGACTATTTCTGCTTCTACAGTTGCCATGTAGAGAGGTTCGGCCATTAGAAGCAAGAAAGGCTTTAAACTAAGTTTGAAGGGGATTGGTGATAAGATTCCAAAAGTGAGCGCAAAAGAGCTACCTAATGACTTACATCACAGGCCAAAGACACTGTAATTGCCTTTGAAGGCCATAAACAGGGCTTACCAGACAAGCCACCATGCTGCTATGCTCAAAGCATAGCAGCATGAAGAGGTCTATGCACAAGTGCTAAGGACTTTTAGGAAATAGACAAGACAGACAGCGGATGGGAGAAAAGTATCATCATCATTGCTGCATGGAAAATAGGAATACATGGACAAAGCCTTCCTACTTTCTTCATACTCCCTAACAGCATAGCTCAGTTCAGCACTACTCTGCCTCTGTTTTCCTCCTGGGAGTTTCAGCTGATCTACCTTGCAGGCAAACGTGCCTTAAACCTCCAGCCAACTCACAAGACAGCCCTCACTCCATCCCTCCCTTTTCATGAGGGCTCAAAGTCCAAGGTGAACAAGCAGCAGCAAACTCCTCCCCTCATACTCTGCAAAGTACAAAAAAAGGAGGAGAAAAGCTCTACAAACACACAAAACTCTTCCATTCCACCAGGACTCCAGCAAAACTAAGTAAGTCACTAGCAGCTACACAAAGCAGTTACCCCTTGCCAGGCCTACCTTTCCCTAGGGAGGCTCTGAGAGGGACTAGTCCTCAGTACCTGACCCCAGCCAGTCTCACTACATACCAAAATATCCATTCAGCCTCCTAAGCAGAGGCTAACTAGGCTGGGCTCTCCCTTTTCAGCACCTCCCTAGAAGACTCAGGTGTTTGGGGCAGGGGAAGGGAGCTGATTAGGCCTCCAGCAATCATTAACTCTTTCCTGACTCAGGAGGTGGGTGGATGAGAATAGGATGGAATTCAACGCAGACAAGTGCAGGGTGCTGCATCTAGGGAGAAGGAACCAGCAACACACCTGTAGGCTGGGGAACACCCTCTCAACAACACAGTGGCAGAAAGGGATCTTGGAGTCATTGTTGACTCCAGGATGGACATGAGCCACCATTATGAGGAAGCGGTCAGGAAGGCTAGCCGCACCTTGTCATGCATCTACAGATGCATCACAAGCAGGTCCAGAGAGGTGATCCTTCTCCTCTATGTGGTGCTGCACTTGGAGTTGCCTCCAGTTCTGGGCACTGCAGTTCAAGAGGGATGTGGCTAACCTTAAGAGGCTCCAGAGGAGGGCCACTCGCATGGTCCGGGGGCAGTAGGCCAGGTCCTACTAACATAGACTAAAGGGCCTGACTCTATTCACCCTCCACAAGAGAAGACTGAGAGGGGATCTGGTGGTCATCTATAAACTCACCAGGGGGGGACCAGCAGAAAATAGGTGAGGCTCTGTTCCCCTGGGTACCACCTGGGATAACGAGGAATAATGGCCACAAATTGATTGAGAGCAGGTTCAGGCTTGATATCAGGAGGCATTACTACACGGTTAGGGCTGCCAGCCTCTGGAATGGGGTCCCAAGGGAGGTGGTGCTCTCCCCTACCTTGGGGGTCTTCAAGAGGAGGTTGGATAGATATCTGGCTGGGGTATTATGATCCCAGCACTCATTCCTGCCCAGGGCAGGGGGTCGGACTTGATGATCTGTTCCAGTCCCTTCTGACCCTAGAAACTATGAAACTATGAGGTTTCTACAACCTATTACAGGCTAATAATAATGTCTTTCTCCCACCTTTTGTCTCAGTTATTTTGGTATTGCCTTAACAGCAGTTAACCAGAGGGATCAATATTGGGCCTCCATGTCTTGGTTAGCCTAGCTTAGGTGTGAGCAGCTGCCATGCAAAGCTGTGTCTGAATGCGTGTGTCCTCACTGATGCTGGAGTCATTTGTGTGTTTTGCTAGGACTTCGGAACTTGTCTCTGGTTTCTAGCACAGCAGCAAGCTGAGCCACTCAGTGCTTCTTTCCCATTAATTGTGGGACCACTTTTTCATCCTTTGGAGTAAAAACACCCTCCATTGTAAGGTACAGTAAAAACCTGTTATCTGGCATTTTACTAACCAGCATTTCTATTAACTGGAATTTCCAGCCAGCTGGCCGGCCATGAAAGGGCAGGGGGGTTTCCATGTGGTGGCCTCTGCCACCACCCTGCACTACGGCTGCTTTGTGTATAGCCGCCACCTCCCTCCACACTCCATGTCCAGCTGGAAACCCCTGTGCCTCACATAGCTGGTATTTTAAGATTATCAACACTCGCCATTCCCCACTCATGTTGGAAAACAGGGCTTTTACTGTACTAGGAAAATGCACATTACCCCATTTTAATGCACATTAAATAGCATGGTTTTTTTTACTGACACTTTAACGCTCATTAAAATGGGCTACTGCACATTAAAATGCACATGTAGACACACCCAGTGAATTTAAAAATAATTCTTTGAGACAAGGACCATCTCTTACTAGGGCTTGCACAATCAGGCCATAATCTCAGTCATCATTCCTCACTGTTCCTCAATGGCAAAATATTAGTAACATTAATTACTCCTAGTTTGCATACCCGTTTTTTAAAACAAGTGTCTTGAGATGATCAGCCTTCCAGTATATTCATGATCATGCAGGTTGAATGACTTTAATTTTATGTTCTCCTTAGATTTATCACAGGATTGGTCAGACTATGCTCTCTGGTGGGAACAAAAAAAATGCTGGCTTCTGAAAACCCATTGGACTCTTGATAAGTACGGGGTGCAGGCAGATGCTAAGCTGCTGTTTACTAACCAGCACAAAATGCTGCGCCTTCGCTTGCCAAACATGAAGACCGTGAGGCTAAAAGCAAGCTTCTCTTCTGTGGTGTTCAAGGCTGTCAGTGACATCTGCAAGACCCTTAGTAAGTGAAACTGTATCTCCTGCTGTATTGGAATTTCAGCACTTCAGCAGTCTTATTTGTTAGGTGCCTTGCTTTAATGAGTCTCTGCTCATGCAAAAATCCTGTTTAGCTCAGAGATATTGGATGGAATCCCCAATTGCAAGTACATCCCTTTTTGAACTGAGCCTAGGTCTTTATCTTCTCTACCCACCCCAAGTCACTTACCTAGTTGTTCCCAGCCCTTGTAAATCTTTGATCCGAATTAAATCAGAAATGTCTCTCATGGTACACGTGGGTGCTGGTCAGTAACACTTGAGGATGGCTTTCTGGAGTTCTCTAACCATGTAGAGCTGAACAGATGCCTTGAACAGATTTAGCCTTGTTTTCCTTTCATACCGGTTTTATACTGCAGTGACACCAGTGGCCTAAATGAGACAGGAAACAATATGGCCCATTATTTTCACTTCTTCTTGTGAGTCAGTTTTGTCTAAACAAGGAATACATGCTTCACAGCACACCAGCTTCTTTGTGTAGACAAGCCCTTAGTGCTTGGGAAATGTATAACATTCTTTAAACCAGGGTACACAACCTGCTTCCCCATTCAATCCTATCAGTATGCTATACCACTGAGTCATGACATCCCTTGTATTCCAATGACAGATCTTTTCTAAACAGCGATTAGCAGTATTTTTGAAATATGCCAGATCTCTGGTGGATGTGTCCAACAAGATTAAAACTGAGGCTGTGGCATTCTCCAAAATCCTCTCATTTGAGAGTATACGTAATCCCTGGTTTAATATAGATCTTCCAGAAATTAACCCATTAACACACTCAACTTCATAAAGAATCTGTCACCACAAACCATATTAACTACAGTTTAATTTTTAATTCAATCTTTTAGCATTGGATTGTAAAAAGGGTAATGTGTCTTTATTACATTTAGCAACTATAATGAACTGGCACCATAACTGTTCAACCAGCCTTTGGCTATATTCAGTATTCCTACCTACAAAAAATATTTACAGGGTTCCTGTATTAATCCAGCTTCAAAAATGGTTGCATGAATGAATCAAGTGATATAATGTTTCTTAGTTCATGACGGATATTCTTGTATTATAGCAAGAAAAGTACAAGCTATACAACTGCATATGTGCTTGATATAATATTGCTGTCTAGATAGGGCCTGAACATCAAAAAGAATGGCTTTTAATAGGGAAATAAAATGGCTGTGCTTCAGATATAGTGGGGGTTAATTCTGTTCTCAATTCTAAAGATGCAAGCCACTCTGTTTAAGTCAGTATAGTCAAAGGTGGTTGCATGGTTGTTAATGAGAAAAGAATGTGTTCCTTGATATTCTGAAATGCAGTTAACTTAAATACAGAAAGAGGACTAAATCCTGGGAAACTCCACCTCCAGAGCACAAAGGCTTTGGCAACTCTAGCTGACACTTGGTTTTACAGCTGGTCTGTGGATGCTTTTATAGAGCTGTGAGGTGGGATTCAGGCATGTCCCCCAAGTGAGGTTGCCATGTGGCCTTTACAACCCATTACTATACCTGATTTTGTTGCCTTAATTTCTAAACTCTTCCTGTAGATATTAGACGATCAGAAGAACTCTCCTTATTGAAGCAGTCAGAAGACACTTTGAAAAAGAAAAAGAAAAAGGACAAAAACAGTAAGGAACCAGTCATAGAAGATATTTTAAACTTGACCAACTCTCCAGTGAATTCAGGATCTCCAGGTAACAAAAGCCCAGATAATTTTAGTCACCTAATTTTAAAAAAAGAAAGGCTGCAAGGCTTACAAAGATTGTACGGCTAAGGCAGGGAAAACTATTCTTTATGTTGTGCAGCTAAAATGGAAAGAGACATGGAGGTTTAATAAGGATCAGAGGATATGGGGATAGTGTTGACTTAAAATCTAGCCAATATTAGAAATGAACTGAAAGTGCTAACAGGTCTCATCTCTACCCCCTGCTGAGTTTGTGAATATGAAACCACACCTTCCTGGGGTTTGTTTTTTTTTAAATTCTCTTCCCCTATTGCCATGTGTAATTCCCATGCAAAAAGGTATCTGACTGAGACCATGATCTTCAAACAGTATCTTCTGCTGCATTTTGGGGATATATGTGCAACCTTGGAATGCTCAGTGATTTGGGCAAACTGCAAGGAAGAGAAGGAAAAGGGTGATCTTTAATAACCCTTTATATTCCAGACAAATCTCAATGGAATTCCATGGAACAAAGAAAAAGCACTGCTTGTCTGCTGCCTGATATTAAAGGCCATCTGCAAACAATGGAGGTGTGGGAGCTTAAAGCAACATTTGAGACTCTTTTATAATGGACAGTAGTTGGTAGCTTAACTAGTGGTCACTACCAGCTCCCATTGGAATAACACATTACTGTTTTATCTTGCAGCAAGTCCTGGCTTATACAGTAAAACCATGACTCCCATTTATGACCCTGTCAATGGAACACCAGCTTCTGCTACAATTACATGGTTCAGTGACAGCCCCCTGACTGAGCAGAACTGCAGCATCCTTGCCTTCAGCCCTCCCAATTGTCCTCCAGAAGTGCTAGCTGAAATGTACCAGCCACGGACCTTAGCTGACAAAGCCAAACTCAGTGCAGGGTAAGGCTGCATCTCTTGGGTATCTGAGCTGGCTGAATAAGGGTATCAGTAATCCAGCTGTTTAAGACACGAGACACGGCATTTAAAAATCAGGCTCTCTCATTTGTCTCATGTCCTTTTTTGCCTTCTGTGATGTTTTTGTGATCGTGATTTTGTGTAAAGTGACTTCCAGTGTAATTGCAAAAGGAATGGGACTGCATTTCTTGGTTAGACCCATAGAAAACCACTGAAGCAAATAGCATCATGTTGGTGAAACTAAAAGGAGAATTTGGCCCTGTGTCTATTAACAGTACCTCCTCACACTGAAAATATGGACATCCAAACAATGTACAGAATCAAAGGAAGACAAAAACCCCCACTGTCTGTACCAATTTGACCATGGGGCAAAATCCCTTTTTGCGCCAAAATGTGGTGATCAGTCTGAGTCTGAGCAAAAGGGAAAGACCCTTTAGCCAGGAACCTCTGGATTATAGTACCAGCTGGAGTACTGGCACACCCCAGTCAATATCCCCAACCTAATAACTGTCTATGGTAAGTGGAAGCTAAACTGCAGTAGCTTGAGTCCTCACTGAGAGAAGGGTTACTCATCATGGTGTCAGCTTTCAGTTACTATGGGATAAGTGAGCATACAGCCCATTACAGTGGAACAACTCATAACTGTATGCATGGTGCTAGCTGATGTATTAGCACAAAATGAGCTGCCACAAACCAGTCTATCTTCTGTGAATCAGACACGGAACAGGATGCATAGCACACTGTTGTCATCCCCAGAGGAGGCTGTAAGTATTCACAGCTGTCAGCTTGAGAACCTAGATCTTGTTCTTAAGTGGTAGTTGCTCATTGTTGGAGCTCTGGAGATCCCTGGTTTGGTCCCCAGTATCAGCAGTCATATAAGTGGGCAGGGTTATAGTAGATGCATCCTCTCTGGATAAGGCATAGGTTGTGATGCTATATGTACACACCTAGACCTCAGCCCTGAACCTAGAACATGCACAAGCATGCCAGAGCTTGCTTGCTCTTCCCTAGCATCGTAACACACAATAAGCCACTCCACCACTCTTGTTCTTCAGTGCAAATCAGTATCTGGACTAAACAGTGGAATTCTACAGGCATAGGATGAAGGCCACAGCTGGCAAATTCTCATCAGTCAGATCTACAAAGATCACTACAATGCCCTCTTTTTCCTGGCTCTTTAGCACCAGCAAAACCTGATGATCTCACAAGGTCCCCTTCCAGCCCTAAAGTGAAATCTATGAAAAGCTATTCCCAAGGCTTTGATGTTGGTGCCAATGCTTGATAAGATGATATAAGAGTTCTTAGTATAAAGACCCTATTGGGATCTGTAGTCCAAATAGCTGATCTAGTGTACATTGACAAGGTTCCTGACTATACTCTTTAAGTAGTCTACACAAGAACCAGTTCAGCAAGAGAACCCAAAATGGGCTTTTTGCTAATAAGTTGAAGTACAATATAGAAGTGTGTGTATGTGTTGTGCACAAGAGAGTGATGCTGTCCATACAACATGAGAAGGAACAAAAGGTAGTAAGGTTTTTCTTTACTAGAAGGTAATGGTTTTGTTTTTCTATATTTTGAGTGTTGCACAAGTATGGGGATGTCTGAACATTCTGGGGTTCAGTAGGGGATTTAGATATTTTTGTGGAAGACAACAATAGCCAAAGTTAGAAAATACAGTAAAAGCTAAAATAAGCATGATTTTGGAAGGGTTAAAGACCTCCTAAGTACAGGGGGATCAGGAGGAAACTTTCCTTGTTGGGGGAGGGGAGAGTCATTTCAGAGGTACCTGCTGCAGAGTTTTTGCTATCTTCTTCTGTAGCAGCCGACTCAGGCCTGTGGCAGAAGGAGGATCTGAAGCTCCATGGACTGCTGGTCTGAGGCTCTCTGGTAACTGTGTTTCTACATTAAAAACACTTTAATAAATAGGCAAGCATAAAAAAATGCACACTTCATGAGCTGTATGAGTTTTGCCTGTACTTGTAGAAGCCAAAGCTGCTAATTCTTGCTGCCATTACCTAATTTGTCACTTTGTGTGTGCATTTGTTCTCTCTACCCAGTTGAATTCAAGTGGGTTTTTTTCCCTCCTCCAGCTGGCTAGATTCATCCCGGTCACTGATGGAACAAGGCATCCAGGAAGATGATCAGCTTTTCCTACGCTTTAAATACTACACTTTCTTTGATTTGAATCCAAAAGTAAGAGGCTATTAAGCCTGGCATTCTGTTGCTTGGTTTTGTTTGCCTGCTGTCAAAGCTGCAGCACAAATATTTGGGGTTTTAGTTAGGAATCACAATTAAGGGCCACTTAGAGTGCTAGTATCAAGCAATTTCTGTTTCTCCCAGATTGTTCAGCTAAGACTGTGTCCTCAAAACATGGCAGGACAACTCAGTCTCTCCTGTAGGAATGACCAATCCCACTCTAATGTAGTAAATGAAAAGACGCCTGTTGGCTTCACTTTGTCACTTTGGAGGTCAAATAGGCAAAGAGTAATGTCTTATTTTTCCCACATTCTCATATACTTCTGTTAAGTTCATAGTAGGAAGCCCTACCTTCTTCTGGGTTCTTGTTTTTTGTGCCACATGATAAACCTTCACAGCTGATATCTGTTCCCGAACCACCTTCTACTCAGTTCAGAAGGCTCCATCCCTTCAGCAGCAGCTGGTTAAGGAGAGAGAGTCTGGTTAGAGCAGGGGTAGTGCTCTGAGTGGGTGTCATGCCAGGCTGCTTAGCTCCAGCTGGGCTCAGAGCTTCTCTATTTCCTGTATTTTGTTCAACTGGGTCATTAAGAAATATTGGCGTAAAGTCTACAAAAACACTTAAGTGGTTTAGGAGACTACATTCCATTTCCAAAACTGACTTCCAGAGACACCCTGGCTCCCAAGGCACCAATCAATATGGGTGCCCAGGCATTCAAACCATTATGGAAATGAGCTGGAGCCAGGTGCCTGTTTGGTTTTGAGGGTCTGGGCCTAAGTAACTTCCGATAGAGGTTCCTAAGTCACATGCATGCTCTTTTAAATTTCTCCCATGGTCGTTTGCATTTCTATTGATAGCTGCATAGAGATTTCAGTAAGTCAAGGGGTCTTTTGCTTTCTGGGGGATGCTTTTTGGGTTATTTGTTTGTTGCAGAAATGAATTTGGTGCAAAATGGCAAAGCTCTATTGTGAATTGTAGCTTACCTGATTCACAGCAGCTGAAATTCTGGCCCTGCTTTGCCAGTTGTGAACTTTGATAAACAGCAGCATGCCTTCTAGTCAAATTAAAATGTGGGTTAAAGTCTGATCCCACTGAAATCATTGGGTGTTTTGCCATGGACTTCAAAGTGATCAGCATTTCATTTGTTGTCTAATATCATTGAGGAGTCCTTCGTGAACTAAGGTTACACTATGTCTCTCTTTCTGATGCAGTACGATGCTGTACGAATAAACCAACTCTATGAACAAGCCCGGTGGGCCATCCTATTAGAAGAAATTGACTGCACAGAGGAAGAATTGTTGATCTTTGCTGCATTGCAGGCATGTACTTGATCTGAGTTGCAAAACCAGTTTTCTCACAAGGAGCAGACGCAAGCTAGGACAGGAATGTGATAGAAAGAGTGAGGCCTAACAGTTCTGCTCTAGTTGTCCTTTGCTCTTGTGCTTACATTTGCTCTGTGATAGATGCCTAGGTTCTGTAAAGCATTTGACACTCAGATTAAAGCAGTGTACATCACTTACATGTGCCTTTTCTCACCCTTTATTAATATTTGCTAAAGCAGCTATATAACTGCATTAAGTCAGAACTCTATGTTTTCATTTGCAGAAGGCATTTGATCAGTTAGCTGCAATACAGAATGAAACTTTAATAACTGTTGGTTTTGGAGGGAGTTGTTATAGAAGTGTTGCTTTATGTCGCAGCTGTTATCCCCATGAGAAGTTTACCAAAGCGCTTATATGCTGACAATACAAAAATCTGCAAAATACTAAAAATGTAGGGCCAGCATGAAATACATTTGAGTTTAATATGAAAATTAACTATAGGAAGGATACTGTGGTAGTCACAGAGCAAATTCATGGAAGTGGCTACTGCAGTGCAAATAAGACCACGCTTCCTTTTAAAATAGGAATGAAGCTGCCACAGATTTCAAAGTTTGCCATATTAACCTGCCACAGCATCTGGCTGTTAAATTTAGATCTGGTTTTTGCTTTATATGGACAGAGAATATAGCAAGGGTAAGACTCTTAGCAGCTAAGCCATGCTGACAGCATGTAGGCTGGTAGACTTACACAGCAGACACCAAGCAAACATTTTAGTAATAACTACTTTAGAAATTCCATACAGTCAATAAAAATTCCATCTCAATCTCCTCATTGCAGGACCCTCTCCAACATAGACCAAGCCCTAGAAAAATGAGTCATACTGTTTTCATATTCTTTGATTACACATCCCAAGCTAATATTTAGATTGTGTTTGAAATGGACTAGCCCTTTTCAAGTCCAGCTCTTTGTATTGTATTACAGTACCATGTAAGCAAGCTATCCGTATCATCAGAGGCACAAGACTTCACACACGACTCAGAAGTAGATGAAGTGGAAGCTGCACTTTCCAATCTGGAAGTAACATTGGAAGGTGGAAAAACAAACAGAATTTTGGTATGTAATTCTGTGTGCTAAGCCTGCTTTCACTGAAGCCACTGAACCAAACACTTTAGCTTAGGTCCTGATAGCTTGGGTAAGAAAGCAGGACTCAGTGAATGCAACAGATATTTGGGAAATATTTTGTACTAAAATTATTCTTGATTATTCCTAGGAGGACATCACTGATATTCCAAAACTTGCAGATCATCTCAGACTATTTAGGTAGGTAAAAAAATTAATGATAGAACAAAACCCAAACCTAGATTCTTCTAATTTGAAACACTTATAACTTCGTCCAAATAATGCCTATCCTGATTGGAGAAGATTATGGGAGGAATTAAGTAATTCCCCACTAATGTTTCTTTTTCTTACTGTGTTTAAGCCAATCTTCAGCAGATATATTCATCATAGTTAGTGTCAAGAAAACTATCCAGATTTAGGCCTGTTGAAGAGCTGACTAATTATAGGTAATTAAACTAGTGGAAATTTTTTCTTCAAAACTTCTTGTTGACAAAATTTTACCATTTTTTCTTAATGCAAGTTTCCCTACGTTTGCTCTAATTCAAACTGTACAGATTTTTGTCTGTGAAAAACCAATAACATTTCTGGGTTTTGTTGCTAAACCCCTGTCCCCAAAACGGAACATTTCAAAAAAAAAATCTATGAAAAATCTTTCATTTCTTTCCGACTCTTTGTAGAAACCACCTACCATTTTCTGTCCTATTCTTCTATATAATCCAAAAATGGGGTCTAATTTATTGACCTCATGTGCATTTATAATAGTTTGAACCTGGAATAATATGGTGAATCAGATCCATAAACATCTAACCACCATTATCAGGCTGTAGAAAATACTATTGCTTCATCACATTATAAATTAATGCCATTTTAACTTGCTTACAGCACTGTGAGATTGTAATGCCTTTTATTTCAAAAGAACTGCAGTTTTTAGAGCAACAAAGCTTTCTATTGTGCAGTGAATTATCAGTTTCATTCTACTGAAATCACGTCAGTCTCTAAATCATTCAGATAAACATATAGCATATAGCCATCATATCTGCATTTGCGTGTTGCCAACTCACTCCTAATAAAGAAGTTAATTCAGCATTTATTACACTATCTAGGTGTGTTAGGATGAAAGAGAACACAAGCCTTTTAAGTCCTGTCAATTTCTTGGTTTTTATTGTGAATTGTTTCATTTTCTCTAGCAAAGTAGCAAAGGAGTTGGGTCATATTTAACCATTAATAATGTTGATATACATACCTCAAATCACACAATAAACTAAAGATCTTTCAAGGACTATAAGAAAATCAGATAAATGCAAAACACTCCTTTAAAGGATAGCAGCATTTTTTTATTGCTACTTGCTTCAGGACACTGCTAAATGCAATGGTCTGCAAATCTGAATGCTGCATTTTCTTGCATACAACACACCCTGGGATATAATATGAAGCTTGATTTTGAAAGGCAGAATGAAGAATAAAAGATTTTTCCAGAAGTATGACTGTATAGAGCAGGGACAGAACCTAATCTTCAGCTGACTCATCCTCCTTTTCCTGTTTAACTAAAGCTAAAACCTGGTCTATTCCAAAAAAACTGGCCTTCATGGGTGGACCTACAATTCTGAAAAGAGGTAAAGAGTCTCTAAAACCTATGAAACAGGAGACACCAAAACTGCCCTAAAAAAGGTTAGCTTAATGAGTGGAACATCAAGACCACTAAAAAGATAAGACGATCTGCCAAGATAGGGAAGAAAAAGAGGGAAAATCCCAGAAAAGAAAGGTGAATTCACCCTTACTGCAGGAGACCAGCGGGTTGCCACCACTGCGCACAGCAGCCAGCCACATTTCTGGAGTAAGTGCATGCTCTGGATTGGCCAAGGATGTGCCATGCCAAGTATTTCCAGCCCTAGGGAAGGGCAGCCCAGGGAAGAACCCAGCACTTGGAAGCCAGAGATGCTAGGGAGCTTCCTTGCTGATGCTGATCTTCCGACAGCCAAGTAGGATCAAACCGCTGGGGAGAAGGCAAAGGAGACTGGAGGACCTCCGCCAAAGGAAGTATCACTGTAGAAGTCTGGAATGATGGGATATGCTTGGGCAGAAGCCTCTCTCTCAAAGTAAGTGAGGGAGAGGAGAACGAGGAGGAGCTGGAGACCTTAGCCATCCCAGAAGACAGGATTACTCATTGAGGACTGCTTGTGGAAGCCCAGAGGGACAGTATTCAGGTTTTTTTCTTTAGTGTACTCACCTTGACTGAGAGGGTTGTTTTTTTTTCTCTTTTCTATCTACAAGTGGACTTGTCAAATTGTCTTAAGTGAAGCCAGTGGCTGGGCTAGGACCCAGGCCCCTTAAGTCCAAAGGGACTGGGGTTTGTACAGCCCTGCCCAGGGAGTAAGTCACCCCAGAAGTTGTTGCGTTTTCTTTCTTTGATTTAATAACTGAGGTGTGGTGGGGTGAAGGGGAAGGAGGAGCCTCATAAATCCAGCCAGCCAGGTGGTCCAAGGTGATTTTTTCCCCCTTTTTTCTTTGCGAGAACCTCCCGCTAATACTAATCAGAAACATTGAAGACGTGGCAGACAAGGATACAACATCAGGGAGGGGCAGAGGAAGTAATTATCATACCACCTTAGCCCATTAACGAAGTGGCAGGGGGGATGTTGTCACACTGAGGACCCAAGCCTTATAGCACCTACCCTTGTCACAACTATTAACACCTGTGGTGTGAAGAACAATGAGCCATTAAGTTCAACTCCTTCAGCTGCCTGAATAGTAATGCTACAATGGCTGCACTGTGAAGTAAGAATCAAATCAGGGTACTGCTGTTTGGGGCAGAAAATCAGCTTCCCTGTTTAATACATGTACCCCAATTTGGGGGGTCTGATTTTGGGAGAGAAGGTGCATATTGCTGTAAAAAAATACGGTACGTTTCACATTTGCACTAAGAAATCCATTCAAATGGACAACATTTAGTCACAGGATCTGCTATGCCAGCAACTTAGGAAAATTATTAATTGCATAATAAGAGCTTGACTCCATTTGGCACAAGAATTACTGTACATGTTTTTCCTAAATGCATGATCGTTAGCAGCTGTTGAAAGTCTTGTCACCACTTTTTTTCACAGAAAATTAGATTTTGGGGCTAAAAACCTGTTGCAGGCAGTATCTTATTTCCTCAAATATGTTTGATTTCTCCCATCAAAAACTGAAAAAAAACAATATTTACAGTTGCCAAAAATCAAATTTTAAAAAATTTAAAATGCATTTTCCGGAAGGAAAAATATACCCATTTTCCACTCAGCTGTAATACTCACTATGAAGCTTAAGAAACACCTTTGAAATGTTTTCTTAAGTATTTCTGAAATATTGCTACAGTCTTTGATAGCTAGGTATGTAAAGTTTCTGTACTGAAGCTAATAGTATTTAAGTACATTACATTGTTGACAAATAATACTCTTCAAGCAAATTTAAGTAAATTACATTTTTGACAAATAATGCTTTTCAACTAAATTGAGTCTGATCTTCCTACACTCATTCTACTTTATTGCAGTATGTTAGTGGGGCCAGTTCTGATTTGCACCCATTTAAAGGAGAGGAAGAGCAAGCCCAATTTTGGATAGTACTGAGAAAACCCTAATGAGTTAGTTAAACCATCACAACCCGCAACCTTAGTAAAGATGTGCTTAAATGGATTGAATTATTTCTGAAAATAGTATAGCTTGCAGTATTTTGCCATTATTTTGCACTGAAATAAACTGAAATGAGCAAAGCAAGAGTTAAACCAGTTCAAAGGTGTGCTTATGAGGGGTGTGCCCTAGTTGAATTAGGTAGTTTTAAGTATTTTTATTATTAATATTTGCACTAACAAAGCCCTGGAGAGTCCTTGTGAAGTAGCTGCGTTCTGTTGTGTCCACTGATGTTCAAACAACATATAGCTGCTCCAAAGAGCTTACAAGCTAAGTATAATGCAATTGAATTAAACTGATACAAAATGTTCTAGTCTAGAGAAGGCTTCAGAACTCGTAGTGCTGGTTTTCAACTACAGGAACTAATATTAGCAATATTTTATGTATTGGGGGGGCAGAAGGTATGAGAAACATTAGCCATTTTAGGAGAGAGAAGCGTTGATTAAAAATGTAGCAAATAGAGAAGGGCAGCAGTTAAAATCCTGAATATAACCACACCTGCATTTCAGGGTAACTTGGATCTGGTTCTGGATCAGTTTTCCTCTCACTGACAGGGGTGTAAACCAGAAGTAACTCAACTATATATTTCTACTGTGGTTAACGAATGAGTGACCTCACTAGAGCTGCTCCAGTTCTATAATGAGGTTTGTGAGGGCAGCCAGTAGCCCAGTGATCTGGAGGTTGCAGTGTAAACCATAATACACTGATGTAATTACTCTTTAATTTCAGGCCCAAGAAGCTGTCATTAAAACCCTTCAAGCAATATTGGTTTGTCTTTAAAGACACATCAATATCTTATTTTAAAAGCAAAGAAGTGGGACAGGGAGAACCCATTGAGAGGCTCAACCTAAAAGGTGGGAATTTGTCTCTTCTTTACCCTGCTTACTCTATTTTATTTATAAACTGAAAGAATGAATCAGGAGTTGACAGTACCCAGAATTCTGAAAGGAGATAAATGAGGTAGCATGCAGTCCTACAGCTGTTAGTAATCCAGGTGCTTGATTATACAGACTTCACCTACAAGATGAAGTCAAGCATAAAAGATCAAATATATTAGCCTGACAGAAGGCATTCCTAACCCACCTGGGCCTGACTTGCAAAGTCTGCCACTGAGCAAATGGAAAGGATTTACATTTCTGAAGATGAGACACTATCTGAAATATTTATATTTCCAAAAAATTTTACTCTATGTTTAATGCAAAGATTTGCGTCAGTCCTTGGAAAAGTGTTCTGGTCATAGAGGATAAAGGGTAACATTTCAAAAGTGGCTAAGTGGTTTAGGGGTGTAAGTCCATCGTCAGACTTTTGAATATGGGTCTTTGGGTCCTAAGTCACTGAGATCACTTTAGGAAAGTTTCCCATCCCACAGAATGAAGTAACACAATGCATAGCTTTTGCTTAAAAGCAAAGAGAGGTCTTACATACCTCACTGCCCAGCTTCTTGTGATCCATATCAGGCAAAGTTCTCCATAGAAGCAAGGATGCCCATCATCTTAGAACCAAGTCAGAGTAGTTATTTAGGAGCTTAGCAGTGAAAGGGAAGTCTTTCTTTAGGTATGATGTTTTAAAAAACCCTTGGCCAATGATCTCAGCAGATAAACATCCCTTTCAGGCATTACATGAAATACTTAATATCAGTGGCATAAACACTAAATCAATCATAATCAATCAATCCTTTGCCTCTTCTTGATCCTCTGTGATTTTAGGATGTGAAGTTGCCCCGGATGTCAATGTAGCAGGGAAAAAGTTTGGAATTAAATTAATGATTCCTGTTGCTGACGGCATGAATGAAATAAATCTGAGATGTGATAATGTGAGTAATAAGACAAGGAACATTTTTTATTCAGAATTTTTATTACAGCAACATGTAGGAAGCCCCATCGAGAATAAGGGCCCCAAGGGCCACACTGTGCTGGGACCTGTTATAAGCTAATAAAGATGTCCCTGAGAGCAGACAGCCCACAAGTAATATAGGATGCAACAAGTGGACAAAACTGACCAGCGGCACATAGTTAAGTTGGAAGCACATAAATACATAGCTTTGGGAAGAGGATTATGGGTTAATTTTCCCAAAGCACATCAGTGACTTGGGAGCTTAGGTTCTATTTTCAAAACAAATTTGCTTTTGAAAATGGGACACAGGATGACAATGGAGCAGAGAGTATTCACTTATTTATAAGGAAAGCTGTTGGGGGGGAAAATTGAACAATGAAAAATTTCAGGAGAAACAGAATGTTTTATTACATTTGATATTTTCCATTTTTTAAACTTTAACTTCCCTTACTTTTTTTTTTTAATAAATCTTTTTTCACCTCGCTGAAAATAAAAAATAGTAGAGGGGGGTGTAGTAAAAAAAAGATAACAGAGCAGTTTTCTTCTGTCATCAAACCAAAATCATTATTTAAATGTATTGTTTCCAAATTTGTCACAGAGACACATTGATCAAAATTAAAATTATTTGTGAAAATGTATTTTTCTAAACAAAAAAAAGTTTTCCTGAAATATTTCCAACTGGGTCTGATTCCAAAGTGTTGAATTCCATTCCTTTTTGTAGCTGTAGTTGGAAGAAAAAGAAAATCTCTCACATATATTCATTTGAGTAAAACACTGAATTTGCTTCCGATGTTTTAATTTCCCCAGTATGCTCAGATATGCTGAACAGCTACTGTTGCTGTTGAAGTCAGTGGGTGCTGAAGAGGCTCAGCATTGCCAAAAATCTGTTCCCATATAGATTCCCTTTCTGTGGCTGTTCTATCAAATAAGAACATAAATAGAAAAAGATAATTACAAAGGATCTTCAGAGAATATTCAAGGGAAGTGTCTTTGAACTCACATGTGTCATTGCTCTGGAAAGCTGATTCCATGAGCTATACCTGCCCAATCAGAGAAGAATAATAGTGACAGGTGACCTGGGTGCTCAGGCAAAATTGACTGAGCTAGCTTGACTGATCACAGCAAACTACTTATGAGCAAGAATTATGTGTGTAGACTCTTTGACCAATTATTTCTAACAACCAGATGTATATTGCAGGAAAATCAGTATGCCCAGTGGATGGCTGCTTGCATCTTAGCCTCAAAAGGCAAAACAATGGCTGACAGCTCCTACCAGCTTGAGGTCAAAAACATCCTTTCATTCCTCCAGATGAAGAATAGAACTATGTCTCCCCAAGCAGTCTCCGATCCAGAAAGCATGGAGATGAAGCCAGAATGTTTTGTCTCGCCACGCTATGCAAAAAAATACAAAGCTAAGCAGGTATCTTAAGTAATTGTGTTTAGGCTGACTCTGAAGACTAGGAAAATGATGGATTACAGAGTAGAGACCTGAGTTAAACTGGCATAGATGAACATGGTGAAAACTCTCAAGAGGCTGCTGGCCACACCTGGGAAAATTGTACCATCACAGTTCTCTCTGGGGTTTAAGCTTTGTACTTGCTTCCTCCAAGGAAGCTCCCTGCAGAGCCACCAGCCATGGCCCATTGTGGGGTCCAGAACGCACTGAACGTTAGGGGTGGGAAGATGTTGTCTCTAGCATAGGGAGAAAGACTCTTTCCTTCAGCGGGGGAAAAGAGAGAGTGAGCTTCTTCTGGTACTCTAACCCCTTTCCCAGTTGAGCCACCTTAATCCTGGATAGGTTTCACTGGATCTGCATTAAATCAGTTTGATTCAGCCACCCCCAGCAACAATTCAAATCTGTCCCCTCTACCAGAAGCTTGGAAGGTCAGGGCTACCTGTACTCAGTCCCCATCTCAGGGGATTTCTTACAGGTCCACAAAATCAGGGGGTCCATTGGCGTAGGCTTCATCTACCACCCCAAAGAAGCCCTGGAGCCAAATCAAGAACCAGCTCAGTGAGACTGTCTCCTAGCATAGGGCACCTTTGTTAGTCCCAGTTTATTTGTAACTAGGCAGAGCGTTATGCCTACAGCTGGCTGGGTACATGAAGGTGTAACAAGCCGTACATAAGCCTGGCACTCTGGGGGAGCTTGCATTTCATACACTCTCTCATGATCAGCTGCAGGACTGCTCTGCTGGGCCCTGCAGTCGGTCAGAGTCCAATACCTTGTGCTCTGGCTGGCTCCAAGGCAGGGTGTCTTGCATTCCAGCAGGGTTGCTCATCAGTGTCTCTAAGCTTGGCAGTCCTGTGCATTGCCATATATTTCATTGGCACTAGGGGGCACATTGGGACAGAACCAACACAAACAGCAGTGATGAACAGCAAAAAGAGAAGCCTGAGAACTAGCAAGAATCCTGCCAAAGAATGGCTAGCCTGAGGCAGCACAGCATGTCTGAGCAAGAAAGGACTATCATCCTGGGATAGCTGGGATCAGAGCATGAGAATGTGCAGCTCAAAACACTAAATGTTTTCCCCATCTGTTGTCACCTTGCTGATAAGCAATGAACTAAAGGCGTCCTTGATACCCCACAGCTGCTCTCTGCCTCTCCAGCAGGGCAGAGCAGCCATAAACCCAACAGACTTGAAATCATGATGTTTCTCCAAGCCTAAGGTAAACTAAAGCCACTACAGGTGCTCCCATGCCACCCTGTTCCTGGACTCCCATGCTGGAGATGTAGTCAGGGGAAGGATGAGGAATCGGGGAATTTTTACATCCTAGCCATCTCTAGCAGTAGGATGTCCCTAGGTGGTTGGAGGAAGCAAGCAGAAATTAGAGCAGTCCTAAGGTTTCTCTGCATTATGCTGGAGGTAGGGCCAGTGTAGCATAGCATGAGGATCAGGCAGCCATTCTTATGGTACATCTTCCCTAAGTCTTTACTGAACAGAGCTCAGTCCCAGCTCAAAATCCATCCCTGTAACTTGTTTGCTTCAGATGGTGACCCAGTACATTTCCCTTGTATGTTTGAATGTGGCCCAGGTGTGCATGCTATTCTGTTTAATTAAAAGAAAGGAAATGTTTGCATAGCATAGCAGTCAGCCAACCAGCTGAAACCTTTCTCTCTCTGCATTTCCCAGTTGGCTGCCCGCATTCTGGAAGCCCATCAAAACGTGGCACAGATGTCGCTGGTGGAAGCCAAGTTGCGCTTTATTCAAGCATGGCAGTCCCTCCCTGAGTTTGGCTTAACCTATTATATTGTAAGGTAAGAATTGCAAATCATGTCACACCGCCCCACGCTTTCATGGTCAGTGATTTTCAGAGACTCCTTTGAAATCCTGTTTAGACAACATGGCCTTACCATTTATTTCAAGTACCTCTTAATGCTTGTAGAACATTAGTGCTTGACCAGTGGTAGCACTGTGGAGCTCAGGTCACAAACCAGGACTTCATCAGGTTCGGCTTTGGACACCTGGTTGCATTTCGGCAGAAGTTAATGTGCAAGTAGGATTAAATTAAATTCTTCATTCGCTAACATGCAACAGAGTCATTCTCTTCTCAGAGGGAGCGTGTACACGCAGTTGACTAACTGACTGTGATAAAGAGTCACCATCTACATGTACAAATGCTTGCTGTGCAGTCAGTTAGTCAACTGCAGGGTCAATTTGCTACCTGCAAATTCAGGTAGCAAATTAACCTTGCCATAGTGACTGTGAGGTAGCCTACATGTAGATGGCCAACCAGGAGCAAATTTGCTCCTAGTCAGCCCAGGCAGCAGGCAGCAGGAGAACAATCTGCTGGGGCGGGCTCCAAGCTCAGAGCCTGGCCAAGACAATGTCCCCCTGCCCCAGCAGCAGGTAGCTCCCAGCCCCAGTTCCTCAATTGCAGCTGGGGTTGGGAGATTGCTCCCTGCCCCCAGGAGCTGCCTGCTGCTAGGGTGGGCTCTGAGCTCAGAGCCTGGCCAGGACAATGTTCCCCTGCCCTAGCAGCAGGCAGCTCCTAACCCTGGCTCTGTGCTGAGCTTGGAGCCCACCCTGGCAGCTGGCAGCTCCTGGGGGCAGGGAGCAATCTCCCAGCTCTGGCTGTGATCTCGGAGCTGAGGCCAGGAGCTGCCTGGGCTGGGGGGCATTGTCCCAGCTGGGCTCCAAGCTTGGAGCCCACCCCGGCAGCAGGCAGCTCCCTGGGGGCAGTAAGCAATGTCCCAGCCCCTGCCCTAATCAGGGAGTTGGGGCCAGGAGCTCCCTGTACCAGGAGAGTTCCCCGCCCAACCTGGAGTTGGCTGGGACCTGACTCAGAACAGGACAGGTCACGGCCAGCCCTGGGCTACACAGGGAAGCCCTGCTGGGTACAAGGCTTGTCCCCATGGGCATTTTACATATGCTCTAGGGGATGTAGTGAGCCACACTAATTAAAAGCACCTGAGCATCACATGTATCAGTGTCTCCTGTGCTGAAAAGTAGGGGGCTTTGAACTAAAGTTCATCAAACGAGCTTAGTTCAGACAACCCTGCCACCATTTTTCAGCATGGGGATGACCATACACATGATGCTGGAGTCTGCTGGAGCATGTTAATTTCCACTCTCGATTAATTGACTCGATTAATCAAGTCTGCTCAGCCACGCTGGATTTCTAGTGCATAAGAGCTGGCTCCCGGCACATGTATAAGAGCTCATGTGCATGAGGCAGGAGAGTTCTGCAGCAGCGGCTCTCCTGCTCCGTGCACATCAGGACCCCTCCTGATGTGTACAGGGCCCAGAGATAGCTGTTAGGTCTGTGCAAATAGGGAAATATTCAATTCGGATTTAGCCGATTCGAAAGACAGTGATTTCAATTCAGATCACTATCCCAAATCAATTCAGCCAAATCAACTTCAGAAGATTCAGCGCCAATTTGGAGAGATTCGGCCACAGATGATAATGGGGAAACACTGAAATACCTATGACTTTGTCAGTTTTTGGCTGATTTGGATACAAATTGCTGGGGTAGTAGCCCCTTCTAAGGGCATGAAGCCTGCCAAGTTTCAAGGAGATGGGTGCAGGGGTTTCTGGAAAACTGCACCTCAAGCTGCTGACAAGCAGAACTCATGACGTGTGTGTACGTGTGTGTGTGTATTTGTGTGCACACGCCCTCAGCAGCACTGGGGCCTCTAGACAACATGGTAGTGTCCCCAATGAAGCCTTCTCCTCCCCTAACAGGAAATAACTTAGTAAGCAGCACAGTAGCACCAGCAGCATCTTAGGCAGCCAAATTGTCACAGACTAGAGCCTTTCTTTCCTTTCCTGCAGGAATTTTTCTTCAGCAGCTGGCAAAGAACTCTCCCTGCCAGCCCCAACCCTGGGGCTTAGATGTGCTCAGGGCCCTGCGTCCTTCCGGTCAGCTGACCAAGGACAGGTGCTAGGGGGGTTGGTCTAAGGACTTGGCACTGGCAGAAAAGGTTCTTTGGGTCAATCTGGTATCTTTCAGTAGACCAGCTGAATAGTTAAAAAAAATATATCTTAGCAAGCTTTTGGGTTGAAAAACCCTTTGTCAGGCTGAGGAAGCACCTGCACTTGGTCTGTGCTGTTCCTGGATGGAAGGACTAGTAAAGAAGCCAGAGGCTGGCATGCAATGCAGGCAAGAAAGCCAGTCAGTGAAAATGGAAATGGAGACATCAGAGGGTGAGGGACAGGCTGGGGGTGGGGAAGGGAAAGGGGTGCGGACCATACTGGACCAGCCGTCTCCTGATGCCCTCCTTCAGCTGCCTCACAAGTGCCTGCATGTCTGGTGACAGCAGCTTGCCCCAGTCAGGAACACTGATCCCCTGGAACTTTTCCATTTGTCTCTGAAGTTCCCTCACTACAGGGATCACTTGGCTAAGAAGGGCATCATCAGCGCTGAGGGTCTCAGTGGCCTCAAGGAAGGGCTTGAGGACCACCAAGATCTGGGAGATGGTATCCCACTCAGCTTTGTTAAGGGGGCTGCTGATCCCAAACTCCTTGAGCAAGGCCATCTCATGGGTGGCCTTCTGTTGCTCCACCAGCCTGTCCAGCATCAGGTATGTGGAGTTCCACTGAGTCTCCACATCCTGAATAATTTTGTGCTGCAGGATGCTCACTCTGCCTGTTTGTCCCACAGTATCTTGCCCCCTTTGATGCTGTGGTGGAAGTAGCCCATCACATTCCTGCATTTTGAAATCAGCTGGATGGTAGTGATGACGCCATCACCAGAAGCCCTGTCCCTCTCCAAGATGTCCCTCACTATGAGGTGCAGCTTATGTGCCACACAGCAGATGCCAACAAAGTTGGCATCATGGGCAGCCTTGGCCATATTGGCCCCACTGTTGGTGACCATGAACCCATGGGTGAGCTTGCCCTGCCCAATGACCCACCCCTGTACTGTGCGGTCCATGGCCACCATAATTTCCCTTGCCATGTGGGACTCATCCATCATCTTGGCTTGAAGGAGAGCCCACCGACAGCCTGACTGGTCACACCAGTGCCCTGTGAGGGAGAGGTAGGCATGATCTCCACCCCGGCTGCACCAGATGTCAGAGGTGAAGTGCAAAGCTACCTTCAGTCCTGCCTTGCGCAGCTCCTCCCTCAAGTGCTCCCTGCATGTCTCATACAGGAAGAGCACCAACGTCCTGCTAAAGATGGTGCGTACAGGCACTTGGTAGGATGGAGCCACAAGCACCATGAGCTGCCTGAACCTTGGCCACTCAGAAGAAGGACTGCCACGTGTCCTACACTGTTGTAGGAGTGTAAGATTTTTATAGTATGGCTAAAGATGGTTGCTGTGACATCCTGTAAAATGATGGGAATTGAGTCTATATAAAACTCATGTTCTAGTACACTTTGAGTCCTTTTCCCCAAGCCCGGCTTTGTTAGAAGAGATGCAAATATAGGATCAGAGAAATAAAAAACCCTGATAACAGCTAAGAGAGGTCTTCCCACAGCAAGAGGAGATGGAGAAAAGGAACCCTTCTTCCTCTAAGCCCTTATACATAATTCCTTGGGAAGTGCTGTCAGAAAACAGAAGTTCTATTGCACAATGAAATTCCAACCTTTCACAATTGCATTTTGTTTCATTCTGAAATGGGGGAGAAGGGGAGTTACATTTCAAATTGTTTCATGGAATGAATCAAGTTCATTTCCGTAACATTTTAGTGTTTTTGATAGTGCTGAATTGTTTTGATGCTTTAGTACTGAAACCCTGTAATCTAAGGCACTAAATATCAAACACAATATAGAAACAGCTTAAGAGAGAAGTCAGCGTGAAATTAAACAATAAAGTCAAAACAGTTCATCTTGAAACTTTTGCCATTGGAACCAATGTGTTTTTTAGAAAGCATTTCAGTTTTGAGAAAACTTAATTATGTGGTGAGAAACAATTCTAGCAACAATTTTTCAAGCAGCTCTACCCTTAGCCTGGTGCCAGGCCCCCAGGGAAAGTCTTTCTTGAAAGCCTTGCTTTAACTCTCATCTTCTGCAGGTTAAGCAGTTATGCCTTTATATAGTCACCTAGAGGCAATCATGTGACACTTGGTCAGCCATTCCTTTATCATGTGTTCTCTGTAGATACTACAGCCCCCAGCCTTAAAGGAGCCATGTCACTGTAATAATAATTCTGGGGGCATGGACCATCTTTTTGTTTCATATTTGTGCAGTGTCTAACACAGTGGCTGTCCTGACCCATGACTGGGGCTCCTAATCACTTCCATACTACTATGACTACTATTATAATAGTGCTAGTAATAGATAATAATAGTAATAGATAATAATAGAGAGGTGCTGACTGTGCATTTCTAGAGACCAGTGCTCCATTACATATTCCTTAACATTTTCCATATACTGTACTTATTGTAGAGTCACCTGTTATTTCCCTGTATTGTTGGTGGTCAAACACCCACATTTTCATCAGAATGCAGTCTCCTCCTGTTATTTAATACCCGCTTTCATACTTTACCAAGCCACATTCTTGCCTTGCACCATACACTGCTGTGGAGAATGATGAGAAATTCCTGGATGTGGTAATCAGTTTTTGGTTTGGGCCTGTTCGTGCTACAACACCCCCCATTGCTCAGGCTGCCTCTGGCACACTGCCTCCCTGGCTGGGTAGGGAGGGTAGGTGCATTTCTAGGTCAGGAAAAAGGAGGCAGGATCGATTTGCATCTTATAGACTAACTAAATTAGAGATATATAAAGCACAAGCTTTCATGAATTGGAGCTCACTTCAACAGATGCTATATGTGACAGGCCCTGGCCCCTAAATGTGGCCTGGTTGTGCCCTTAAGGCACACTCCCAGGGTGCTTCCACATACTGGGGAGTCCTTCTACCCCAAACCATAAACATCAGTGACAAACATCAGTGATCATAAACATCAGGGATCATAAACATCAGGGACATCAAATGGGTTATGCACAAATAAACAAAAGAATATATATCAGAACAAGAACCCGTATTTACCCTGCACATTAAATCCAAGGATGCAGTCCTTAGCCAGCTTCCCAGGTTAAAGAGAAGATCCTGCCTCTGACCTTGTGCCAAAGCTGCCTTCATCTCCCTGTCAGCTTGCTTTTCTCAGCCAGCCTTGGCAGAGGAAAAACTGAAGGCAAAGCCACACTCTTGAGGCAGGCTTAAATACAGTTGCTTATCTGGCCATTAATGATGTCACTCCTTCATTTCTAGCAGGCTCACACTATGCCAGCAAGTTCCTATTTCTCCACCCCAAAGGTACATATTTACCAGACTAGAATTCTTTCGTGCTCCAGTCAAGACCAAGAGCGTATGTGCATCCTTTCAGACATGGAGATTTGCTAATCCAGTGTCCATCTCTCTTGTAATTTCCCCAGTGGGAAATGTTCTCCTTGTATCTGCGTGTTACACTTGGGCCCCTTCTTTAAAAAGTAAATTCATCATTGTCTGGCAGGGACCATTTGAGAGTAAACAACTCTTATCAAATTCTAATCGTCAGCAATTGTATGAACAGTTGGGACAGTTCTAAGTATGAACAGTTGAGGGCCACTTAATCACTGCCTTATTAAATACAACCTTGGCTATATTGTAAAGATAGGTCAAAATTACATTATATCAAGTGCTAAAATACATTTAGTTATGAAAATGACAACTGAACACAACTCCAGCCTGGTTACAAATAGAAAACAAACACCACAGGAGTAAATCTAATTTAGGAGAATGCCCATACATGCCATATGGTGAACCCCAAAGGGCAACTTGGTTTTGGGGGCAAATCTGTTACTGTGGAAGGGCGTGCACAGGGCAATGTATAAAACGGGAAGAGCGATTTGAACACAAAGGTAGAAAAGGAGGGTGAGAAGGCTGGAGGGCAGTGCTGGGAAGGGCAACAGGCAAAGCATCTATAGGAACAAGAGGTCACAAAAGCTAATCCAGGTTGTGGGATAAGAACCCATAGTCCCTGATTAAACTAAAAGGTTTGCTTCCTTCTTCATCAATAAAACTTCTTTGTGACGAGTTATCTCTATGCTGATCACAGCTGGTCTATGTCAAACCAGGAGACGGCTCCTCCCATGTTTGTTACGCTTGCTTAAGGCCAGGCAAAATGTGCTTCCCTAGAGAATCATGCTACATAATTTTTTTTTTTTTTTGCCCCCAGGTTTAAAGGAAGCAAAAAGGATGATTTGCTGGGAGTTTCCTACAACAGGCTGATACGGATAGACATGGCCACTGGGGATCCCATTACAACCTGGAGATTCTCCAACATGAAGCAATGGAATGTGAACTGGGAGATACGCCAGGTAAAACTGGAACTGCCCTCTAGGCTCAATTCCTGCACTTCCCTCATCTGAAGATGTTCCCCCATCAGATTGTTTTAAACCTGAAAAGGGATCCCAAAGTGACTCTGAAGGTTATTAAATAAGCCCCTCAGATGACTTGCTATTAGGCTGTGAATGGGCAGGGAATAAAAAAAGAAAATCAGCTTGAAGCGTGGTGGTAGCTGGAAAACTAACTCTGCGAAAGCAGCCCTTGCTGAACACCAAAGCTGATACTGCCTTCCAAATGGCAAGCTCTTCAATACCTGAGTCTGCGAGAGGACAAAATATGGAGCTCCACTTTGTCATTTTTACAGAGGTGCTTTTGATCCTGGAAATGTTTCCTTGATGCAGTCAAGTTTTGCCCAAGATGGGAGTAATTGGAGGGTAACACTTTAAGCCACTTTTGAGAGTCTTCATCTGTGGAACCTGACATAATTTAGAGCAGTCTGAAGGCTGCTTTAACTTATCCCTAGTTACCAGAAAAGCCAGGGATAACAGAAATGCCTCAGCTCTTTCCCCCTCCCTCCAACAATGCTTCTTTTGCCAGGACCTGAGAGGGAGTGGTATAGAGATCCTCACATCTGCAGGCTCCTGAGGGATTTAACTTGCACAAAAGTACAGCCCCCCTGGGTAGCCAGTTTAGCTTGATTTTCAGTGGCACCACACCACTGAAGAAGCAGGGGCCTGAATTTGGCTCTAAAATCTCACTTAAATTCAGCATTTGGCACAGATGGGTACTAAAAAGCAACAACATTCTCTTATTCATTTGCACACAGGCCCAAATAGCATCGTTACTGCTGCTTGCACCCTTCCCAGTCCTTCACTTCAAAGCTAGAAACTTCCCCAAATACCTTCAGATCGGGGTGCCAAATGGTACTACCCATGGGGCTGGGAATTCAGGGGCAGGGCCTGCTGCTGAGTCCTGGGAACAGAGCCCCACAAGGGGCATGTGTCAGTGGCTGGGAGCAAACGATGGCTGCATTAACCCCTGCAGCCACTGCCCCCACTTGCCCTGTCACTGCTGCACATGAGGAGCTCCACAGTACAAAACGCCCAGTGGACTGGGTGAGTTTGACACCTCCTCTTAAAATTGATTTGCTAAGGAGCTTGTTTCTGCTATAAAACATGTAGGTGTAATGTTGCTGTAGCCATGGTGATCCAAGAAATATGTGAAGAGCAAGATTTGTCTGGTAATATCTTTTATTGGACCAACTGTATAGAGACGTTAGACAAGCCTAAGGGCACAAGATGCCTCAAGTGACCTGACGAAAGGCATTTGTCTAACATTTCTCTGAACTAGACAGTCAGTCCCAGGAAAGGTACTACCAAACAAATCTTGCTTCTCTAAAAAACATTTAGCAGACTTTGACCACAAGGGGTCCCTATCTGAACAGGAAAAAAAATCCTTACTGTAGACTAGGTTTTTTGGGTAAATGTGGTATCTTTTATTAGACCACTGTAAACCAGTGGTTCTCAACCTTTTTTGTACCAGGACCCATTTGTAAACATTGAGGGCCAGTCCTGACCCAGTAAATAGTTTAAGCAGAAAACAGCCCCCTGACCCTGCTGGTGTCCCTCATTCCCAACCCACAGCTTTTCACCCCTCCAGCCCTGCTGGTGCTTCTCACTCCCAACCTGCTACCCCCAGGCCCCAATCCCACACTATGTGGGGCAGGGTGTGGATGTGTGAGGCATGAAGAGTGGGTATGTGGGGCATGGGGGAGCACATGCCCCCCCCCCATATTTATGTGCCCACAACAGACATGGGGCTGCAGTCTGACCAGACTGGCATGGGCAGGAGCCACCTCCACAGCCCAGTGGCCAGGACTCAGCACAGGAGAGTGGAGTAGGGCAGCAAGACTTGCTGCTGCCAGGACTGTTGCACCAGCTGTGCTGCCAGCAGCATGAGGAGTAATGGAGGGCAGGGGGTGGTCTGTGCTGCCCCCACCTTCTCCCACCACTAGCCACTCGTGTGCCGGGCTGCAGCTCTAGTGCAGCTCCTTAAAGGAGAAAATCCATGTTTTACCATGGCAAACAGAAAACCTAGACCATCGTTTAGTAGTATGCATTGAGTTAACATATGGTGAAGCACAAGCAGCACCTGTTTTTCCTCAATAATGTATGCAAAATACGATCCATTTCTAAAGTTTATTCATGACCCTTTCATACATTCCACAACCCACAGGTTGAGAAACACCGCTGTAGACCCAGTAATCCTTTCCTTGCCCTGCTCTTAGTAGTAGCTACTTGGTTATTTAGATATTATTGGTCCAGTCATATTGGGCTCAATCTAATCTACAGATTCAGGCTGTTACTGAGGCAATAACATGTATTTTTGTTCCTGATTTTGCACCATGTGTTCTCTCCTTAGGTTGCAATCGAGTTTGATCAAAACGTGTCTATTGCCTTCACGTGCCTGAGTGCAGATTGCAAGATTGTCCATGAATACATTGGGGGCTACATCTTTCTGTCAACCCGCTCCAAAGACCAGAATGAAATGCTGGATGAGGACTTATTCCACAAATTAACTGGAGGTCAGGAATGAGGGGAAGTCAGCTAAGCTTTTTGGTGCTGGCAGAAAGGCAAGAAGATAAATACAGTTCTCTCTCTGATACTGTTGCTTTTGCTGGCTGGTGGAACAACATATACAGTATCCTTGTCCTGTCATAAAACTGGAATATTTCCAGGGTGATGTGTTAAATATTCAAACAGAGGTCAATGAGGTGGAGTAAGGCAACTCTGTGACTGACATCAAGGAAATAAGACTTCCTTGTTTGCCTTTATGCTCTTCAAAGATTTCTCTCAAGGCTTTATAGTTGATGGTTCCCAGTCTATCCAGTTAATTTAGAAGACCTTTTATTAGCATCCTGAACAAGGAATTTGAGGAGGGGAGGCCACGCACTTTCGTCTCTATAGATCTGTAACTCCCACTTATTTTCCTCTGGCTAACATATCTCAGGTTTAATATACCTAAAACTGAATAAATTTGAAATTTTTATTATTAGAACAAAATACTACCTGTTGTGTGCATATTACAATTCTCTCTAAGCTGCTTCACATGTGGAATTATCAACCTGAGCATCCAATAAAGATTCAGCCTGAAAACACATATTGTTCTTGCTTGTGCAAGTGCAGTTCCCTTAAGGTCAAAAGACTATCCTTATGCATAGAGTACAGTACAGGCATAAATCTAGGCAGGATTGGATCCAAAACATTTATCTTTCGAGGAATACTCTGGAGGGTTTCAAGAGGAGACTAGAGAGTCAAGTTGCTGGGGTCACCTAACCCCAGTTGTCTTCCTGCCAAGAGCAGGGGCACTAGACCCGATGATCTGCAAGATCTCTTCCAGCCCCTAACAATCTATGAATATTTTTAATTTCTCTGTCAAAAGAATTGATTTAGTGGTTATTTTTATATTATTTATATGCAAGAAAAAGCCTGTAAACATACTTCCTTGCTGATTTCTGTCAATTTATGAATGCACTATTAAATCCTAAAGAAAAGTTATGACATATCTCAATAGAGGTGGGACTTTAATTACCCTTGGAAATTCTGGTACTCAGATCCGTAATGCAGAACCCCTCTGACTTGGATTTGAAGAAACTAATATTAACAGTACTTACTAACCAAAATTCTTCACTGAACAGAATAGTGCAGTGCAGTTACTAGTTATAACCCTATGGACTTCAGTGGGTTTCGATCAGGCTTAAAATGCTTGCTGTCAATAAAGCATTGGACCATGGCATAAGCCAATTCAAGTGCATCCATAAAATGCAGACAAAGATAGCTTCATATATATTTCTGCACCTGCAAGAAGTACGGTTGGGGTTTTTTTGATGATATCTATTACTGGACCACCTGTGTAGTTGGGAGACGTGTTAAATAGGCTTTCAGACACAAAATGCCCTTCCTCAGCTCCGGGAAAGAAACAGATACAGCCTAAGCTAAATACCAGATAAAGCAATGACCCACAAGAAATGTCAGGCGTTTACTACAAAAACCACTACTGGATGTTGTCTGGATGGACAGCAACAGCCCAGATTATTCCCTGTTTTTTCACATTTTACTCCCATGTCCCTCTGAGTATGGATAAATACTTAAATTTAAGCCAGTTAAAAGAAACCATGCTGTGTATTAGCTGCTCAGTGGTACCTGTCCATGTATCTACTCTTACCCTGGTGGAAGATCTCCACTGACCTTCCTTGCTCTAAATCCTTTCTCAGTGGAGACTCTACCCTTCTTAGTGAAGTTCACTCATGCTGCAGAGTGATGGTACAAGACCTTCCAAGCTATTTAATACCAACCAAAGGACTGCTTGGGAGAACTTGTGCCCACAATCCTTACCTGTGGTTGTTCTGTGACATAGTACCCAGGGTCCATTTTGCAGTATATATTCAAAACAGCAGATATTTTTCACTCCAGACATATAGCTGATTTGACAAGCAATGTCAAGTCAAAGGTCTACCCAAGCCAAATCCTCCACTTGGTTAAAGCATGACCATTTCTGTAACCAACCACACATGAGTGAGTGATGTACACACCATCACATCCAGCTATCTTTGACCCCAGGCCAAAATGCCCAGGTGTAACAGGACTAGGCCCCAGGGGCCGCCATGATGCCATGCCCCCGATAACCAAACAGCAACTGCCTTACTCTGGTTCTAGGTGTCCTCCCTCCCACTGTTGCCTGCCATGTCATTTTTAGATTGAAGGGAAGTGCCTAAGGGTCTTAGAGCACATCCTCATCCCTTCTTCACCAGCAGATCCCCTCCTGGATCCCAGTAGCCCAAACCTGGTCTGCAAGTAAATGGGCCTTCCTGGCCCACATGTGCATTAAGGCACCCATTGCCTTATGGGCTATTCATGGCCTTCAACCTTCCCTACAACTGTGTCCATGCCTCACCAGTTTTACTCTATACTGTTCTGTCCCTTGCAGAGGCCTTGGCCTTCTTGGCTCCAGCCTCCCTTTTCTCTGGCTGCAAGCCTTCAGCCCTGGCTCACTGACCTGCTTCCAGCTCTCAGTTTCAGCCCTGTCAGCCTGCAGTCTCCCTGGGCCTCTGGCCCTTGTCTCTCACTCTGGGCCCCTGGGCCCAGAATTTGCCCTTCTGGGCTGATCTTGCCCCTCTTGGGCTATGGGTCCCTGACCCTGGCTCTCACCCCTCTCAGACTATGGTCCCTGAGCCTGGCTCCTGCCCTCTTGGGCAATGCTGAGCTCCCTAGCCCAGCCTGTGCCTTAAGCCTGACCCCAGGCAAGGCTCAAGGCAGTCACATGCCCCTCAGGCACTAATGGGACCTCCAAACCACCCCTGTAGTCCCAAACCCAAACCACCAGTTTAAACTGTAGCAACAAAACAGTAAGCCCACTGGCTACAACACAATACTGTTCCCAGACTGGGTCCAAACATAAACCCCAGCTCTGGGTTGTATTCCCCCCTGTAAGCTCTCAAAGTCTTACTGGTAGTTCTCTGGCAACTCAGCAGCCAACCAGGCATTCGCCTGCAGCTTTCCTTCCAGGAGCTCCTTCCCCTGCAGCTTGCAGGGCCAGACTGCCCATCCTGCTCTCAGGTACTGGCTTCCTGTGCCTCCTAAGCCCTGCCCCATCCAGTCCTGTGATCCTGCAGCTTCCCAGAGGTATTCCCTCCCTGTAACTAATGGCCCGCCTGCTTTCTCAACTAGCGCTTAACTAATTGAGAAAGCAGCTGCCTGCCTTGGTGACTTGCAGCCTGCCTTGGTGACTTGCTGTGCTCCACTTCCACTCCTTGGGTGAATCACACTCCCAGGTTTAGTCCTTGCCTGCAGCTGTCCATTTGCTGGCAGCCAGCTCCTTAATAGCTAGCTGGTCTCCTGGCTGCCAATTCTCTGGTAGCTAGCCCCTTTTTAGCTTCCCTGGGTCCTAACTGCAGCGTTCTCTCTCCCTTAAGTGATAGGAGCCTCCAGGCTTCCTGTTATACTGGGCAACAAATTACAATAGGATACGTGTAGGGGAGAGGGCACTTCAGCATGAAACTAAAGTAACGCTTACGCTTCTGCTTCTGGATCTGTAGCAAGGCACCTTAGCCATGCTGCCATGGTGCCTTAATGAACAACAGTGTGCCATGTGCCCCTATTATAATAAAAAGCACCAAAGATCCTTCAGAAACAAGGGGTCAAGACAGCAATCTTGTACTGAATGCAAAAGTGGGAGTTTTCATCTGTGCCTTCTATCACCTTGCTGGCTCACTGACTCACAACAGGCTCAAGGCTTGACCATGCTAGGATCTTACCCACTGATGGCTCTTACTGTAGGGTAAAACTACAGGTGTTGGACTCCTGAAGCAAGTTTTATTCTCCCAGCTCAGCCAAGGGATACGCTCAAGAGGAGGGCAGAGAAAGTGCTTCAGGCATATCCTCAAAGCAAACTTTAAAAAAGGCAATATTGATGTCAACTCATGGGAGACTATCACCCAGGACTGCCCCAAATGGGGGAAGAGTCTGCTGCAGGAATCTCAGTACTTTGAAACCTTACGACAACAACAGGAGATGGAAAAGTGAGAGTGGCAGAAACAGCATGGCATGAACCAAATCAAGAATCCAGATCCACACATCCTGCACAGAAACACATGTCCAAGCTTCAGTAGAGCCTGTCAATCCCGGATAGGCCTCATCAGCCATCTTTGGACACACAGATAAGACAATCATGGAAGACAATCATCCTCAACTGCGATGGATTGCCAAAGAAAAGTGTAAAACTGTGGCAAACTACTGGTGCAAGTCAGCAATTGTAAGGACTCATGTCAGTGCCATTACACAAGTGGGTAGTAACTCAGTATAGTCAAAGGTGGAATCTTATAGAAGAAATGATCCCATAGTTACAATAAGTAGAAGCCTTTGCTTTCCTTGGATACCAGTGGTTATATGCATGTACTGATGAAGTCTGGCCTTTTTCCATCATTATTAGAAAATAGAAAGTAGGTGTTGCCTTCACATGGGAATGGCCTGTAGTAATTAAAGCAAGCTCAGTTGCTGGTGCATTCTCTTCAACAGTCTTAACTATGGCATGGTGGCTAACTTTCCATCTGGTGTCACGCTGTCATATCTGGTTGTAACAGTCTTTCACAAATGGATCAAAAAGTTTCCTCACTTTTCTATGCCCCTCCTGCAGTGCTGCATCATTGACCACCTTGCACTGAAGTCATGGGGGGCTTTGGGGCATCAGGCAGCATTTTCACCCTATAAGAAATCCAGGGCCCAGAGACTCTGGGTCAAATTTGAATCCTACTGTCAGGCAGGAGGAAATGCCCTTAGCTCTGCTTCCCGTAAGCAGCACAAAGGGACCCTGATGCATCTCAGCGATGCCAGCCTGTCATTACAACTGAGTAAGCAGCTCAGTCAGTCCTATGTCAGCCTGCTTGAACTTGCAGCTGGAGACCAGCCACAGGTCTGGGTCACTTGCAGCTTAATGTCATCTTTGAATCCCCAGCTCCACATGTGCCAAGCATTCCTTGGCCATACCCCAGGAACCAGTTCTTCATGGGGCTTTTTGTTTCAATTCAGCCATGTACCAGACCCTACTTGCCTGACTTAATAACCCTGCGAAGTCAGCGGGTGCTCGGTGATGTGAGCTGATGTAATGTACGTGAAGGCTACAAGTTCATACCCTTCCAGCGGAAGAGTTTGTATTTGTATAACCCCAAGAGGGTGATAGGTCTTTCACAGATGGTAGGAAGGCAGTGTCACAGCCCTGAATTTAAACCACATCATCCATGGAAATAACAGTGTAAGGACAGAATCTAGAGAAGGGATTGTCCAGATAAAAACAAAAGACATTGCCAGATTAACACAGTGGCTCCCTGTTGCCACACTATTCTGTATGTGTGTATCTAAATAAAGTGAAAACAGGTCTGGACTAGCATATTTGTCGTCTGCTATCCTCCCAAGAATCCTGAGAGACAGTTTTACCAATGACTTAGAAATGCGCAGGTACAGCAAACAACATGTGGACTCTGACAAAAGTGACATTTATCATGCAGTCAGCCCCCTGAACGTGCTCTACAGCCATGCTGTGACACATGTGCACAGCTGCAAAGCGCTTTAAACGTTGCCGATTGCACAACAAATTAATCCTCAT